CTATTTGCTCATTTAAATTAATTTATTTAATATTTCTTCCATTTTTCTGATTTATTACTCATTCATTTATTCTATCACTCTGTTCCTCACCCATGCAATCTTTTCCAGAGAAAATTAATATTTCTAGTTTCTTGAGTGTCCTTCTGGATATATATTTACAGGAAAATAGATGTGTGTGTGTGTCTGTCTGTGTGTATATATGTCTATGTGTGCCTTTCCCTCCTTTTTAATGCAAACCAAAGCATACCATATTCATTATATAAGTTGTATCTTACATTTAATAATAAAGCTTTGAGATATTTTAAATCCACCTAGACAGAGCTGCCTTGTTTCTCCCCATTGCTGCATGGTATTTCTGTTTAATAATATATCATAATTAATTTAACCAGCCCTCTAATGATGAATATTAGATTATTTTAAATTATTAGTTATGACAGACCATGCTGCAACAAATAACCTCATAGTATGTCATTTCTTGTATGTAACCCTATATCTATTGAATAAATCCCCAGAAGTAGAATTGCCAGGTAAAATGAGAAACAAATCCATAATTTTAAAAGATATTGCCAAATTGCCCTTTTTCCTTTGAAGTTATATCAACTTGTATTCCACTGATGACCTCTGAGAGGGCCTGTTTACCCACATCCTGTCAAACAAATAAAGGAGAATGGCTCAATGACATGTATACCAGACCTGCTAGAACAGCATTTATTGGGAGAAAACTCACAGAGACAGGAGTGGTATCAAGAATGCAGGTCCCCCATGCCCATTACATTCTGGAACATCACCCCACTCTTCTTAGACTGCATGATTGGGAAAATACCAGCCTCTCCCTGGTGTAGTCAGAGGGCTTGGGTCCAAGCCTTGGAGCTGCAGCTTTGCAATATGGCAGAACCTCTGACATGAACTCCACTTCAGCATGGAAACAGGATCATGGACCTTAAGACTCAGGTACAGGCAATTTCCATAGAACTTTGCAGAAGGCCAGTCTGCACAGCATCAGTCATGGACAAGTTAAACCTTACTTATCAGAGAGTTTTTGGTCTTTTCCATATGATAGGAGAAAAATGGTATTGTGTTGTAGTTTAATTTTCATTTCTCTAATTTAGAGCAAACATGATCATATTTTCTTGATTTAAGAGATATTTGAATATTGTATTAAATATTCAAAATGTTGTCAATATCATTTGCCCAGTTTTCTATTGAGTTGTTGTTCTATATAAATGAGAGGTAGCTCTTTATTTATTAGAGAAATTGGCTCATTGTCTTTGGTATTGGTTGCAAATATTTTTTCCAAATTTGCTGTCTTTTGGTTATGCTTATATCAATTATGTACATTAATTAGAGTTCCATTGAGGAAGTAGAAACACTATGAGTATTTAGAACAATTTATTATAGGAATTCGACTTTAAACTACATTTGAAGTGAAAGGAGCTGGGGAAATAATCTGAAAAAGAGGAAAGAAGATCACTACCCAGCTCTGGTGTGGGTGCAGGAGTTGCAAGTTGCAGGAAAGTGGGCAAATCCGGCTGGTGGACTGGAACTGTGAAGGGGGCTGTGTGGAAATCTGGAGGGTATTGACTCTTCATGGCTACCACCTCTGAGAGTTTACAGCAAAGAAAAAATATCTGGCCACTCTTGATCAGCAGGGCGGCAGTTAGGAAGGGGAGCTCTAAACAGAGCAAGAAAAAGAAAGAACAAACTGGACCTGCAACACTCCTGTGTCCTTGCTGTTCCTCTCCACCTCCAAACTCCAGGGCATAAGGGCTGCTGCTTCACTTACTCCTTAAAACTATCATGCAAACTCCCTTTGCAGCCAACCCTAAATTGGAACATTACAGGGAATGAGATTTTGTTCTTCTGAACACTGATTTAATCCCTATGTTCTAATGTGTGTTGATTTCACTATCTCCCTTTTCCTCTCCTCCAGATATTCTTTAGTTTTTTGTTTTCATTCTGTTTGGTCCAACTGTTTCTTAAGGGTTTTTTTAAATATTAGGTTTTATTTTTTTTTTATTTATTTTTAATTGGGTTGTGATCAAATATTGTCTATCTTATTTATTATTTTGAAAATTGCTGAATTTCTGGTTTTATATATTCTCTTTTAAGGGATGAATGTTTTGTTGGCACTTGGGAAAGGTGTATATTATCAATTAGTTTTACCTCTTGAATAATTATACTGAGGATATTTTAAAGGCCTTACTTTATTCTGTCAACTTAACTCTTTATGGACTGAAAGCCACTGTTATACTGTTTCTGGCTATTTCTCCTTGAACATCCTGTACTTTTTGCTTTATGTACCAATGCTATATATTTGGGGCATTCATTGTCATAACTGTTGTATCTTGCACCCTTTATGATTACAGAGTGCTCTTCTTTTTTTCTCATTTACTGCCTTTTTTGAATTGAAATTGATCTTATGTTAACATCATGATCCCTGCTTTACTTTTGTTTACATTTGACTGGTATTCCTTGACCTTTCAACCTTTCTAATTAATTTTGTTTTGGCATCAGCCTAGAGTTGGATTTTTTAGATTCAATCTGAAATTCTTTTATTTTATTACATGAGTTTAAACCATTCAACTTTATTGTTATACATATATTTGATGCTAATTTTACTGTATGATTTCATGTTACACTTTTTACTTTTATTATTTAAAAATTCTATTACTGTAAGTTCTGTTTCTTTTACTTTGTTTTACATGTGTGTTTCCTCTCATAATTTGGAAGATTTGTTCTAGGGATAACTTAATAACTACATAAATTGGAGTTCTAAAACTCTATGTTTTGGGACAATATCTACTAATTCCCTAGTATAATCAATGATAAAATTAGTATATTTTCTTTTCTTCCACGTTTTCCACTCTCTCCTGTACCATGTGATTTATTGACTTCATTATCTTAATCTTTTCCTTTATACTCATTATGTACTTACACCTCTATTACACAATTTATCAGGTTCAAATGTTATCCTTTAACACTCAGCTACAGAAGATGGGGAAATCAGCACATTTATACTTCCTCCAATGTCCTCTCTTCCTTTCTGTTAATTATAACCATTTAACCTTTTCAGATTTTATAAACATTTATGCTTTATTTTATACCTATAATTTCTCTAAATGTTTTAGTTTTACCTCTATGGTAAAATAAATTTAAAACTAATCATCAGCTCATATACTGTATATTTTCCATTTTTCTCTCTGTTGACTGAAGTCTGTTTTCTTTTTTAAGCCTCTGTTTTTACCAATGGCTGATGTTAACAATATTTCTTCAATTTTTTCATTGCCAAATTAACTTTATACTTGAACAATAGTCTGGATAGTTATAATATTTTGGGGTCTCATTTTCTTTCCTTTGAGGCATTGTAGGCATTTTTCCATTATATTTCAGCTTTGAATACTACTTTGGAGAAATGACAGGCTATTTTTTTCACTGAAATCCAATAACATGACATTGATATATAACAGTGCTGGAACTCTGTACAAGTTCTTCCTGGGACAAAGTACACCCTTTCAATTTGTAGATTCAAATACTCTCTTGTTTCTGGAAATTTTTTATTAACATTTACTTTTAAATAATTGTTCTTTCCCATTATTTTTATATCCTTCTTTGGTGACTCCAATTGTACATATGTTATATCTTCTTTGTCCCATATCTATTATTCTTCCTCTTTTTCCATTTCATCTTGTATCCTTTCAAATACTGTTTCTGTACCTATCTGAGTTTTTCCCATCATGCCGTCTTTTCATTCTGTAGTAACTTTAGATTTCTTTAACATTTTTTCCTGTCATCTTCCAGCTCATATTTCATGTTCTTCTTCCTTACCTCTTATATTTATACTCTTCCTTCCTATTTTGTAGAGAGAAATGTTTTCTTATTTTTTTTTTAGATTGGTTGTAATCCTTTGCCACAATTTTTATCTGTTCCATGGCAGTCTTCTCCTTTGGAGTGAATTTTATCTTCCATCTGTTTTTCTTGTTTCTTTCCTTCCTTTTTCTTATGCAACCTTTGTATAGATTCTGTGTTCGTTTGTTCATGAATCCTTGAATAAAGCAAATGTTTGCTGAATAAGACATTTGCAAGATACTTGTATCAAAAGAGGCTGAGATTATGTTTCAGGCTAGCAGGAACTTATCTTGTGATTCAAAATTGTAAGAAAGTTATTTTACCCTTTACTTGCCTGTAGTCAATGTCAATAGGTAACTGTAGAGCTGCTGTGGTGTCTTTTCCTTATCTCTCATCCCTAATCTCATGCCTTATCTATAGCCTGCAAATAAAACTTGCCAGTGTATTTGATTCCTCTTTTAGCCCAAGGAGCCCTGCTTCTTGAATCCATCTCAGGATCACAGAAGATCGTGGTGCCATACTTTGCATCCTACTCCCATTATTGCAAGCTAGTGCTCTTGATTTTGTTCCTTACCAGCTTCCCTTTTTTGTTAGAGAATTGTACTTGTCTAGCTCTTCTATAGCCATGGATTTTTTCTCTTTGCTTCTTGCCATTCTCCTATTTTATCTCCACTGTCCAATCTAGTTTGTAAATTGGGATTTTAGACATTTACTAGTTTTCTTGAATATCGAATCTATATGTTTATTATTTTGCTTGTTTTGAGAAGGAATGAGTTCTGAGAAGAGAAAGTTCCAGATTTAGTCTGCTCTGTTCAAGCCAGAAGTACACTTCTTGCTTATTTTCCTCAAGGGTGCTGTCCTCCATAATCTTTACAAATAGGTTCTTTCATCTAGGGGAGGGAGGGAGGTCCGCAATGGTAATGTCACCTGTCCTTGTACCTAAGAGTAAAGTAAAGGTACTGAGGTAAATGTAGTGAGAGAGTTAACAGGTGCAGTGTGGCCTAGGGAATGGGAAAATTCTTGGACAAAGAGAACTTAGCAGAAGGCTGGGCATGTAGAAGGAGGTCTATTTCTTCTCTTTTTTCTTCTTGAATAAATAAATGAATTGAAAGAACTGATTCTTTTCCTCCCTGGATGTTACCTTGCAGGAACTCATGAAGCCAAAATCTGGGGCCAATGGAACAGCCATTACTGAGTTCATCCTGCTGGGCTTGGTGGAGTCACCAGAGCTGTGGCCAGTTGCCTTTGTGCTCTTCCTCTTAGCCTACCTGGTCACAGTAGGGGGCAACCTCAGCATCCTGGCAGCCATCCTGGTAGAGCCCAAACTCAACACCCCCATGTACTTCTTCCTGGGGAACCTATCAGTGCTGGATGTTGGGTGCATCAGTGTCACTGTTCCTCCAATGTTGGGTCGTCTCTTATCCCACAAGCATACAGTTCCCTATGGAGCCTGCCTCTCCCAGCTCTTCTTCTTCCATCTGCTGGTTGGGGTGGACTGCTTTCTGTTGACAGCCATGGCCTATGACCGATTCCTGGCCATCTGCCGGCCCCTCACCTACAGCATTCGCATGAGCCAGACAGTCCAGAGGATATTGGTGGCTGTGTCTTGGGCTTGTGCCTTCACTAATGCACTCACCCACACTGTGGCCATATACACACTCCACTTTTGTGGTCCCAATGTGATCAATCACTTCTACTGTGACCTCCCACAGCTCTTCCAGCTCTCCTGCTCCAGCACCCAACTCAATGAACTGCTGCTCTTTGCTGTGGGTTTCATCATGGCAGGTACCCCCATGGCTCTTGTTATCATCTCTTATGCCCACGTGGCAGCTGCAGTTGTACGAATCCGCTCTGTGGAGGGAAGGAAGAAAGCCTTTTCCACTTGTGGCTCCCACCTCACTGTGGTCACCATTATCTATGGTTCAGGTATCTTTAACTACATGCGACTAGGTTCAGTGAAGCTTTCAGATAAGGACAAAGCTGTTGGAATTTTTAACACTGTCATCAACCCCATGCTGAATCCTATCATCTACAGCCTCAGGAACCCTGATGTGCACGGCGCCCTCTGGAGGTTTCTCACAGGGAGGCGGTCAGTGTCTTGAGTTCTTAAGTGTCCCTTCCTCTCTGTGTCTTTTTGGACTAAAGAAAATATCCTCTAAAGTTAGGGACTAGGACAAATGGTTCAGAACTGCTCTCTATCTCTCTCTCTGAACATAATGACTCTCTGTGGGGGAGAAGAGTTATTGTTTCCCAAAGAAGCTCTCCTTATATAGGCAATGGGTATATAGGTTCTGCTCGGACAGCCCCTTTGACAAATTACAACTTCTGTGTCCTCCCTTTTCTGGGTAGAGGTGAAATCTAGGAAGCTGTGAATGCTTACAGGTTCATGTCCCAGAGGGAATGACTCTTTAGTTGCATGTAGCCTGCTGTATTAGTCCATTTCTGTTGCTTATAACAGAATGTCTGAAACTGGGTAATTTATAAAATAATAGAATTTATTTCTTACAGTTTTAGTGGCTGAGAAGTCCAAAGTCCAGGGAACACATCTGGTATGGGCCTTGTTCTCGGTGGTGGCTCTACAGCGATGCAGGTATCACATGGCAAAAATGGCTGAGCAAGAGATAGCTAACCTGGTCACTCACTCTCCGTATCAGAGCCATGCCTATTACCATCCATTAAACCATCAACTTATTACTCCATGGGTGGGTCAATCCACTCACTAGGGCATGGTCCTCACATTCTAATTACCTTTTAATGGTCCCACCTTTCAATTACCATAATAAGATTTCCCATCCTCTTAACACTGTCACAGTGGGGATTAAGTTTCTAATACATGAATTTTGGTGGACACACTTAATCCGTATCATCCGGGTTCCTAGAAGTACCCCCAAACTCACACCACCCAGGGTCATATTTTTTCCTCAAGTTTAGGTATGATTAATTTCTTTATAAAACATAGGTATACAGAGCAGAATTATTTTATTTTTCCCATGATGCCTGCTAATGTAGTCTAAATATGTTGTCCCCTCTTCAAAGCCCATGTTGAACTCTTATCCCCTATGTGGCAGTGTTGGGAGGTGTTTGGGTCATGGGTGTGAATCCTTCATGCATAGATCAATGCTCTCTCTGGGGTGAGGGGAGGTAGTGAGTTCTCACTCTGTTAGTTCCCATGAGTGTTTAAAGGACCCTGCCACCGCTCTTCCCTCCTTCTTTCTTGCTTTTACTCACTATGTGATCTTGCACCTGCCAGCTGCCTGACAATGAGGCCCACACCAGATGTAGCTGTCCCACAGTCATGAACCAAATAAACTTCTTTTCTTTATAAGTTATCCGGTTTCAGGTATTCTGTTATAGAAACACAAAAACAGACTAATGCAGAAAATTAGTACTGAGGAGTTAGGAGTACCGGCAGCTAGGCTTGGCTTCCCCCTTGCACTGAACAAATGATCTGAAATTCCAAGAGCTGGTGCAAGGATTGGAAGATTTATTCACATACCTAGCATCTGGAGGCTGACAAACCAGGTTAAAATCATCCCACCTTCTGATGCCTGTTCTGGAGTTTATAAAGGGGAAGAGGCGAAAAAGTGAGGTAAGGGTTTTGTCCTGCAGAAAAAATGGCTGGTCATGGGATCAGTAGAAGGTCTGAGTCAGATGTCGGGGTCCCATGATGGATTGGGTGCTTTGGCGTCATGGAGTCTGCAGTTGGTGGACCGGTCAGCTTCAAACCCTTGATGTTATTTCAGGGTTGGAATCCTTATCTCCTAGGGAGAGCTCAAAGACACTAACCTCAGTCAAGCATCACCAGAACATAAGAATACCTGACTCATACCTGTAACTAATGCAGATGCAAATTTCCTTTAAGCAACAAGGTGAGTGAATAATCAGCTAGGGTAGTTTGCCTCTCTCTTGTATTTCCTCTGTTGGCAATTGATTGAGGGAGGTTAGAAAAAAAAAGACGACTTACTTTCAATCCTTAATTGTAGGTGTGGAAATCTAAAGTAAATCAACATAAGAGAGTGTAATATGAATTAAACAGAAATAAACCTTTGAGAAGGATCTTTTTGGGCCATGATTTCATCTCAGGGCAATTTCAGCCACATGGTTAGTTTCTTATTTCCTCTACTAACCTTAGGAATTAAAAATTGTTGGTTCTCAGGAGAGTGTGGTGCTGATAAAAATTGTTGGTTCTCAAGTTAATGGCTAACTGAAATTTTCTTCTTTGTCTTAGTCACCCCAAAGATGGCCATTCTCTGGCTAAGATTCCTTTTAAATGGAGATATTGGAGAGGACCAAATAGGGTACAGAGATAGTGTGGGAGATGACAAATACGGGAAGAGTTGGGTAAGATGCCTTGAGACTGTTAAAAGATCAGAGAAAGAAAGTGGGCAATGAGATTAGAGTGTGAGGGACAGGGGATGGGCTGCCCATTCAATGTTGCTTGGCAATCACTAGTTCTGGCTGCTCTGACACCTTTATTGTAGTTCATCCTCTCTACTAAGAAGAAAATAATATTTTAAGTTTTGCTAAAGTGCTAAAAAGTGCACAAGGGAGGTGTTTTCCATTTCTCTAAACAGAGGTTCTCTTGGAATGACAGGAGAAAGGTTTACCAGATGGGAAAATACAGGAGAAAAAGAGTGCTGGTTATTCTATCTAGCTACGTTACTAAGATGTTATCAAAGGTTGTGACTAACTCTGTGCCCAGCTTACATTCCTGTCTTTTAGGTCATGCCTGCTAACAGTGTCAATAGACATTGGGAAAAGATGGCTGCTTTCTGATTCTTTTTGAGCCACCACACAAACTTCAGGCATATGAGGAATGAGCTTCCTCCAAGGCTCAAGAAAACTGTTAGGTGGGCTGGCCAGTTAGCACAGGTGGCTAGAGCATGGTGCTGACACCACCAGCGTCTCGGGTTCTATTCCTGTGGCCAGCCACCAAAAATATAAAAGAACTATTGGGAAGAACCTGTGCTGTGGTTCTCACCTCATCACCTCTCTCACCCTTAATGTTCGTGCCTTGAGTAAGTTCTTTACCTTCTCTGATCCTGTAGCAGACAGAAGACACAAGGCAACCACCAAGGTTCTTGCACTGCTAATGTTCCCTCATTCTACCAGTCTATAAGAACAGAGGGGCTGTCGCACTGTTTACCCTGGGAGAGTTTCCACATCTCCCATCATCGCTTCTTTTACCCACCAACATTTAACACTGCAGTAAAACAGAGCTACCCATTTGCCTCCAAAGATCCCTGTGACTCAGACATTTCTTCCTTCTGACCATTCATCTCAAGCTTCAAGGAATGGTGTTGTCTCAGCATTGTCACTAGGACTGAACAGAGCAACTGGGTTCAGCATCATAGAGAAGGACCAAGGACACTGATTCCCAGCTCCCTGTCTACCCTCCAGGACCACATGGTTTCAACAATTTGGGAGGTTCCTTTTCCTTTGAAATATATCTCCTATTTTTTATTCCAAACTGTAAATCTCTTCACTACTTAAACATTTTGTTATACATGTAATGCATAATGTTGTAAAAGTCCAAGCAGTATAATATGTCATCACCACCCTTCTACACCAGCCCTACAATATACCATTATTTAAAAGTAACTATTTTTTTTTCCTTTTTTTTTTTTTTGTCTTTTTTCGTGACTGATAACGGGATCGCAACCATCGGTGTCGCGCCCGCACCGCGCTCAACGAGTCTCTATATGGGATCCAAACCCTCGGCGGGAGCGCCGCCACACTCCCAAGCACTGCACTCTACCGAGTGCGCCACCAGGCCAGCCCTAAAAGTAACTATTTTTAATAGTTTGGTTTTTAGCTTTCCAGGGAAGTGAACACACACACACACACATATTCAAAACATCAAACTTTTTGTAATTTGCTTTTTCTCTGTCTACATTATGCACTATAATTCTTTACATGTCTACCTACAAATCTATCTTGTTCATTTTAAAGTCTGTATAATATTCCAATTTATGTATAAACTATAATCCACCTTACCAAGCCCTTATTGATGTAATTTAAGTTACTTCTTATTTTTGCAATTGCTAATAATACTGAGATGAACATTTGTATATCTTTCCATTTATCTGAAATTGCTTCCACTGGTTAAATTCATGAAAGTAATTTGTGTGTTTACGTGTGTACAAGGAAATACAAAAGCAAAGTTAAAATTTGTTAAGTATTCTGCCTTTCTATTTGCAAAAACATGTGCAGATCCTGACTGGCAGTGTATAAGAATACTTATCTCACATTTTTTACTTCACTGGGTGTTATATCTCTTTATCTCTGAAAATCAAATGAAACATTGCATTGTTTTTTCAATTTGAATTTCTTTATGGCTGTGTTTGAAAAGGTTTTTATGTATTTATTTGTTATTCGTATTTCTTGTCTGCAAATAACCTGTTCATGGTTTGTTTTTCTCTTCCTTTAGGGGAAGTTTATCTTTTTTTATTGGTTGGTAGAAACTCTTCATGTTTTAGGACAGTAACTCTATGCCATATGTGTTGCAAATATATTCCCTAATTTCTCATTTGTCTTTAACTTTGTTTAGAGTGTGCCCAAATGAAGTTTCACATACTTTGTGAACTTTATCTTCTTTGTTTTATGTCACTCTTAGAAAAAAGGAATTTTCCATCTAAGTGCTGTATAAATATGTGCTGTTGATATTTTTCTAGTATTTTTACATTTCTTTTTTTTTGAGAATTTATTTTTTTAAAAGTTTTATTTACTAAGAATATTCATGAGATACAAAGCTAATTGTCACCCCTCATGCCCATGATGTGAAAGCCAGATTCATACTAGTGGCATAGTGTAAGGACACCGTGGGCACTCAAGCGGAGGGGGAGGGGGGAAAGCATTCCCTGGCAATATGGTGCCCTTCCGGGTTGTTCTCCGCAGTAAACAAGCCCGCCAGTGCCAACACCCAAGCCCACCCATGCCAAACCTCAGCCAGTCACAGGTCAAGGCTCACTTCCTGCCCAGCCCCGTCCAATCAGCTACCACCCGTCCACCCCCTATCCAAACCTGGAACACAGCTCCCTATAAATGTACATGCAGTCCTTGAATAAAGTGGAACTTCTCTGGTGAACTGTCAGCTCGGGTC